AATCAAAATCTTTAATTTGTATGTGTAAGTTAATAATTATGCCATCACATTTAGAGAATATCACCCATCATTCTTCAACAAGATATTTATTTGACATTCTAAATCAACAACTTATAAATAAATGACTATACATTTCACTTCTCACACTTGATTAAAGTCACCAACAAACATTAAATTTTATCTTTACGCATTTTCTTCTTCATTCTCAATATGCTTTAAACATGCAAAACTATTTGAAAATTTTTGCTTATTTTTGAACTACGATTGAAACTCACGAAAATTGCTTTTACTTCATTTCACTTTTGCCAAAAAAAAAAAAAAATACTTAGTGATTGTGTACATAATTTTTTAGGTATATCGTTTATATTATATGTTAAACATATATATCTCAGTGCTTGCCTGGTTACATTTACACATTACATTTACCTCTACTGGATTACACTTCTGGGTCTGTCGCTGTTATAAAGTCATGCATGACCATTAACGAAACAAAATATTATCTCTTCCCATGCATGACTTTGCTAGCCTGAAAACTGCAATTATATTCCAAATACCTTAAAAGCAAATTCACATAAGATTACGTTGATATTCTGCTCGCCTGCTAGGAGTGATTCACTTCTTAAGGAGCAAAGATATGTGGACACAAATGTCAAGAACTAGAGAGTGTACAGGACCTGAAATGCCAAGTCAAGCAATTAAATTTATGGTTTAGAATCGATTTTTTTTTTTTTTTGTCGAAACGTTAGCTTTATATTTATAACCGAATACTTTACAGTATTTGGACAAAGGTCCAATCAAAAGGACTACCGTTCTACAAAAATTGTTGGTGCCTAGCACCTAAGATTGGATTCACCCATTCTTCATCTAAAAAGATGTTTAGAGCATGCAAGCTCAACTTAATACTTCCTACATACCTTGAATTAGCAAAAGAGAAAGAACACTTATGAAACAAATTACTTATGGACTGAATGTCATCTATTAGAGTAGCCATCAGTTGGTTGCTGTTTCTTGTTTTCTTAATGCATTCCACCAGCTCCCTGTTGTCCAGTACCATAGTGATGTTTCTCCATCCTTGGTTGATCGCATTCAGTACTGCGAGTCTCACAGCAACAGGTTTGTCTTGCAATGGGTCTGCTGACATTCTTTCCCTCGGTGCCCAACCTGCTTGAAGTTGTCCCATAGAGTCAGTTGCTGTGATTCCAATCCCCACTGTTTTTTGCCTTTTATCTTGAAGCGTATGGACCTTGATCATCAGACTGGATTGGCTCTCTATTTGATTATGCTCTTGCTCAGGTCCTTGCTGTATTTCCGTTTCCTGAATGTTCTTCCTTGTCACCGTTCCTTTGTTGGCCTCTTCAAACTCTATCCATTCTTTCATGGCTTTCTAAATTATCTTATGTGGTTCCCTGTCCTCCTGGTTAAACTCCCTCTCGTTCCTGGCTTTCCAGACCTGCCAAAGAATATTAATTGTGAGGTTCACCTGATCCTCCCCACCTCTATCTTCTTGAGCTTCTATTACAGCAGACCACCATATGATGAAGTAGTTTAAGAGTTGCTGTATTCCATCCCATTGTACTAGCGATAACTTCCAAATTTCTTTTACTTTGCTACACTGGAACAGAAGGTGTTCAATTGTTTCTTCCTTTTCTTCACATCCTGCACACATAGGACTCCCTTGTCTCGTTCTTTTGTATATTTCTCCCCTCACAGGTAGTCCACCATGCAAGCACTTCCATATGAACACTTTCATTTTCTGACTCACCTTCTGCTTCCATAGTGTTTTCCAGACCCTTGTGATAGATCTTTCATAGCTTGGTCCAGCTCCTTCTCTCTTTCTTATGCTTTCCAACTCCTTTTCCTTCATCCACATCTTGTAACCAGATTGAGTTTGTATTGTCCATCCTGAGAATGCATCCAATAATAATTATCTTCTTTCCCTGTTAGACTTATAGGGATTCTCAGGATTCTCTCTGCATCATGAAGGTTGAAAGTTCTGAAGATTAGCACAGTGTTCCATCTGTTATTAATGATGAGTTCAAAGACGTACTTTAGATGACACCCTTGAGACTTTTCAGTTGTTGGTTTCCCTCCTGGTCTATCGGGGATCCAGTTGTCTTCCCAGATTCGTGTTCCTTTACCATTCCCTATTTTCCTCATGGTGCCATTCTGCACTTCTTTTCTGACTGCCGCTAGACTCTGCCATATCTACGAGGCATTCTGAGGAACCTTGCTGTTAAAGAGAGATTGATTGGGATAGTATTTTTCCTTCAGCACTTTTCTGACTAACAAGTTTGGCTGTGTTAGTAACTTCCAGACTTGTTTGGCCAGTAGAGCTCTATTGAACAATTGCAAATCCTTGAACCCCATTCCACCCTTACTTCTCCTTTCTGTCAACTTTTTCCCGCCAATCCAGTGCATCCTTTTCTTCCCCTCTGTGTCCCCCCACCAATAGTCAGCCATTTTGGCACTAAAGTCTCTACATAACTTTGTATTCAATCTGAAGCACGACATAGTGTAGGTTGGCATTGCCATGGCTACTGCTTTTAGCATTATTTCCTTCCCTGCCTGGTTCAACAACTTGTTCTTCCACCCCTGCAGTTTCTTATCTATGGAACTCTTTATGAACCCAAACACCTGCTCCTTAGATCTTGTGATAATCATAGGTAACCCAAGATATTGTCCTTGTCGTATTTGCTATATTGACCCCATAGTTTGACAGATTTCCTTCCTCGCTAATTGGCTTGTGTTTTTCCTGAAGAACACTGAAGATTTGTCCATGTTGATTAGTTGCCCTATTGCCTTTTCGTACACTTTGAGGATTTTCATTAGCTTACCAGCTTCTTGAGTATCAGCTTTACAAAATACTAAAGAGTCGTCTGCAAAAAACAGGTGAGTGATTGCTGGTGCCCCTCTACTGATCTTAACTCCTGTTAGCTCCATTTCCACCTTGGCTTTCTGTAGCAGGTTTGATAGCCCCTCTAAGCATATTAGAAACAGGTAAGGAGATAGTGGATCTCCTTGCCTTATGCCTCTGGACGGGATTATAAACTCCTTTTGTTCCCCATTTATGTTGAAGAAGTAAGTCACTGAGCTGATACAGGTAGTTATCCAACCTATCCAAGTGGTGCAGAAGCCCATCTTTTTCATTATAGCTTTCAAGAAATCCCATTCCACCCGGTCATAGGCCTTTGACATATCCAGTTTCACAGCCATGGAACCAACTCTACCATGTCTTTTGTTTTTTAGAAAGTGCAACAGCTCATGAGACAAGATGACATTATCTAAAATTTGCCTACCTAGTACAAATGCAGATTGGTTTTTGCTAATACATCTAGAGAGGAAACGTTTTAGTCTATTGACAAGAATTTTAGCAAGAGCTTTGTAGACCACTTGGCAAAGGCTTATAGGTCTGAACTGTTTAATCTCGATAGGGCAGTCCACTTTTGGGATCAAAGAGATGATCGTGTGATTTATGGCTTTTAGAATGACACTATTATGAAAGAACCCTTGAATTGCACTTCCCTTGAATTGCACTTACCAGATCCTGCTTAATAATGCTCCAGAATTTTTGAAAAAACAATGGAGACATGCCATCACTTCCAGGAGCCTTATTAGGATCCGTAAAGAAGAAAGCAGCCTTTATCTCCTCTTCCTCTACTTTTTTAGTCAGTTCTCTATTCATTTGTTCTGTTATAGAAACAGGAATCCCTTCTAAGATTTCCTCTAGTTCACACGACCTTGAACTCTTAAACAGGTCCTCATAGTAAGTAGCAACTTCCCTTTCCAGCTCCTGATCATTTGTAGTCCATTCTCCACTGGTTTTTTTCAATTTCTGGAGTCTATTCCTTCTCTTCCTACCCTTTACTGTTGCATGGAAGAACTGAGTGTTCTTATCCCCCTCTTTTAACCATCTTAATCTAGATTTCTGGTTCCAGTAGGCCTCTTCATTCTCATATGCAGCTTCAACTGCCCTTTCATCTCCTGTAACTTTTGCCTTTTATTTTCTGCCTCTGATGCCTTAATTTCCTCAATTTGATTTTTGCACCAGTTGATTTTTTCGAGCGAATTCCCTTTCTTACTACTACTCCACTTAAGTAGCTCAACTCTACAATTCTTTACTTTCTGTTTCACCTTGAACCACCTAGTTCCATCACTCCATGTCCACGGCTTCCCTACAAATCCAATATCCACCAATTGGTTCTCATTTATAAACTTTTTAAAGTCTTGGAAGCTTCTGTTATCTCTCATCCTTCCACCCCATTTTTCATCATCTGAAGTGATGTCATTGAAATCACCCATTATAATCCATTTATTCCCCCATCCTGCTTTCCTTCTGTTTAACACTTCCCATTGTCCTTTCCTTATTTGACTATCACAGCTAGCATAGATTCCAATAAACCACCAACTTTCATGCGTTTCCTCATCTTCCACTTTTGCCTCTATGGTGAAAGCTGTGCCTTGTACTTCTGAGATCTTGACTTCTTAGTCCACAAAAGAGCTATCCCTCCACTTCTATTCATAGCCTCTACAATAAAACTATTATCAAAGTTCAACATATTTTTGACCTTTTCCATATATATTTTCCTGTTTTTTGTTTCACTGAGAAATATTAGACTAGGGGAGAGGAGTTTATTTTCCTCCTTCAAATAGGGAACTATCAAGGGCCTCCCTGCACCTTGACAGTTCCATACTAGAACTCTCATGGTTGGTTTAGAGACCAATCTGGGCTGGTCCCTTCCACCATTAGAGTCTGAGCTGTGTTTTCCATCCCATCTTCTGATTTTTTTCTTTTTTGCACTCTGCTCAATAGCTTCCATATCCAGCATTTCCTCATCTACTATCTGCACCCTCCTCTTCATGTTAACACCTTTCCTAGGTTCCAAGTTCTGAATCTCATTCAGAGGTTGTCTTCCTCTTCCATTTTTCCTATTCATTAGTCTTACTTTTCTCTCGCTCCTTCCTCCATTTCCCTTGATCTAGACTAGCTCATCCTCATCCATCTACATCTCAATAACTAGAGCTTTACCATCCTCTATTCTCTTTTCCAGCTTCATATTCCCTAATTCTCCTGATACTGCGGGATTCACTTCTACAGGTGACTCATTCTCCAATCCACACATTTCTGAACTTGTTCCATATTTATCCTCATTATCTCTTTCCACCCCTCTCTTATCAGTCTCTTGTGCATCCAATAGCTCCTCATCTTCCTTACCTGATTCCTGTATCCTTTCCATAGGCATTTCATTGTATTCCTCCACCCTGTCTGTGCTCTTGGTCAAGGTTAGGTTCTGGACCCTCTCATTCCTAACAGGATTGGCTTCCTGTTCTATGTTATTCCCATAGCTCCTCCTAATCCATTCCCCATTTTGTAAACCTCATACTTGTCTATTTGAATTATACGAGCTGGATTTGCTATCCTTTTGAGGGGATCCTTTCCCATTCTGTGCTCGTAGCCAGGGTTCATACTAATTTTCTTGTTGTCCCTTCTTGATGTTCACCTCATTTTTGTATTTCATTTCACTGTGTCCAATTATTCCACATTTGTAGCAAAAATCAGGCACTCTTTCGTATCTAAAGTTAATCCATTTTAACACTCCACTCATCTTAACTGTTGTGCCTCTTAACAGTGGCTGGGTCAAATCTGCACTCACAAACAGCTTAAGGTGCTTCCCTTCTTTGCCACCAGAGTGGGAAATTAACACCTCCTTCACCTCTCTAAAAACTTTCCCGATCTTCCTCCCAACTTCCTTAGATAACCAGTGAATGGGCAAATTCCATACTTGTACCCATAGTGGAGCATATTTGAAGGCCTCTGTATTTTCCTCAATTCCTGCCTCCCACCTATTTAGTACGAGTATCTGACTATCAATCAACCATGGTCTACCGCCAAGTATTCTCAATCTGCTCTCAGCGTCTGGAATGAAAAATTGAAACAGGTTAGGCCCCAACTCAGTCATAGTGAGATCTTTGGGGTAGCCCCAGGCTGCCGTAACGAAATTCTTCACACCTGTGAAGTTTGCAACTTTTTCCCCTCTGATCTTCCCAATGATGCTATTTTTACACTCAGTGATTCCTATATCTATATCATCCATTTCTAACCATGCTCCATTCTGCTCCAAATTAGACAGAGCAAACTTTTTCAGCACTTCCTCCAGTTCATCAGCCATGGAAACTAGTTAATCTAAGAGGGATTCCTCTAGCTATGTGTGAGAACAAATGATAGAACCTGACTAAAACAGCTAGAAAAGAAAACCAGACTACTATTTTCTCTAGGTAAGTACACTACCAGGTAGGCAAGGACGAAGACGACCTACTTATGCAAATGCAAGTGAAAGAAAAGACTTAGTAGAGAAGTTAATGGCCGTGATACCTAGAATTTTAGGGCTTCACCGTGGTAATGCTGAGTATTTAAGACTAATAACTACCATGTCCTCTATCTGCCCAGCCTAGATGGATCCAGTGCTTTTATGTCCTTCTTTGAAAGATCATTACTATCTTAATAAACCTAGTTTTTTCCTTGTGACTTCTCAGCTCCCCTGCTTCCGCTATTCACTGATTGGTGCAGTAAAATCAGAGATTGTGGATTCAGAAGAAGATTTAGTGGTGTTTAGATTTCGGCATTTTGGTTTCTTGAAGGGAATGTGGTTTTCAGTCTAGGCGGGGTTTTTTCCTTTTGAAATTTCCAATCTCCCACTCAGAAGAGAGAAAGCTCTCAGTTTAGAGAGAGAAAGCTCCCAGCAGAGAGATCTTAATATGTGAATATACTAGAATTGGTTTTGGCTATGGTGGAAAGTGAATTGTCATTTGATTCTTAGTTGCCTATTTTATTCTATTTTTGATTGTTTTCTTTTTTAATTGTTTTAGACCTCTAATTATCATTACTCTAAGTTTAGTGAATTGTCATTTAATTTCTAGTTAGCTATTTATTTTTATTTGAATTTCTTTGATTGTCATCGTATACACAAAAACACCTCCCGTGTTACTTTGAATTTCGAAAGAGACAAATATCTCCAGTTCCTGAGGATACGACCCTACTTGCCCTATTTATAAATTAATAATTATTTGCAAAAAGCCATCCCATTCAGGTATATCGGATCAAGCAAACTCTTCGGGAGCAGGGTGAATCAAGTAACCCATTGCACACCTAGAGTCCCTGCTCCAGTACTTGGAATTGGGTTTTGGTTACTTTATTTGGCAATTAGGTTTAATTTTATTATTGCATAGGTTTCGACAACCTGTCAAATCTCCTAATTGCTCCTGACATCCGAGGAATGAAAAGAAAACTACTAAGAGCTAAACAAAAAAGAAAAGTCAAAGGCTAAGCCATCAAAGTAGTGCTAGTTCTCTGCGCTTTTTTTCTTTCTAATACCTAGCTACTCTAATGCTTGGCTCCTGGGCGGCGGCCCCTCCAGCTGAATAGAAGACTTCAGCCTTTTCGTCCTTTTTTCAATGTTGTCTTCCGCCAAATTACCAAAAAAGGGTCGCGTCTTGACGTTCCAAAAATGCCCCTGCTACTTGAACTCTTTTCTGATGATTGCCAAATTAGCACTTGTTATGGTATTTTCGTTCTACTCCCTGAAATAAATGCAAGTTGTCAAAAGTGAGTAGAATCTAACAATTAATCCACATCAGATCATGTAATAGAGGAAATTAATAATAAAATAAACAATAAAATTGCAACCTATCACCTCTAATATATGAAAAAAACCCCATAAATAAGGAGTACTTACTCCGTTATAGAAACTAATCTAAAGTTTTTTTAAAAAAATAACTTACGAGTTCTCTTTTATTGAAAATCAAAGGAAAAGAAAGATTACATTGAGTGCTTTCAGCCAGACAGCTATCGAGAGCACTACCCCGAAGGTGCCATTGTAAGCTGGTATCGTACAGCCGAGAATTCCCTAGCGTCAAGTAGTACAGATGCTTGTACCGCACTCGGCAGTTGCTGATGAGACGTGCAAAACAAATCGGTCCCCCAACACAAATTAGCCATCATATCGGAGGAAATATTAGCCTCCTGAAAGATATGCGACACAGAAGAGGACAACGAGGCTAAAGTTAAAAAATCCTTCAGCATCTAGCCTAACTAGCACTTTACATTGTCTAGGCAAATCCGCTATAGATGGTTGGTTCTTACTATTTCCAAACTCAAACTTTTACACTTGTTATCATTTTATATCCTTTTACAAATTATCTATTCCCTAAAAGTAATTAATTTGTCCATAGTGAATCTCATTTGTAGCCACAATTAACAATTTTGTTCATCATGTTGCGTGTGACTTTTCTTGCTTGAGTCTAATTAGTTAAAGTTTATAATGATTATGCTCTTCAAAGTCTCCAAAACCCAAATTTATTGGGACATTAACAAGGTAGCCTTCAAGTCCATTGTGCTCATTTGTTAGGCATTTATCTTTCCCTTGCTCTTTGTAAGGTTTAGAGTCTCTCTTGTGTAATATAAAAAATTATTCTCTTCAAAAGCACCCCTCCTATTTGTATATAGTAAATTAATTCCTAAAACCCAAATGAAGAAACTTTCATTCTATTATTGAATTCTTTCAAAAGTTATCCAATAATAGTTTCATTCAAATAGAAAATAAATGAATTCAAGTTCGTTATCTATAAGGAACATTTCCCCATGATATTTTTAATATTTTTGTTTGCTAATTCCATTTTTCAACCTTTTCACATGCAGATTGAAGATAATATTTCACTTGGTGGTTAATAATTACTCACTAATTTTCTTTCCCAATTTCCTCCTATAAAGCAATAAAGCAATAAAATTGAAGAGAAAAAATTTCAATTGTTAAATGATGTAAGAGAATTTAGATGTGCCTATTTATGCATGGGGGGAGTCTATGAGTTACTATTAGTATTAAGTGTTAAGGTAATTTGAAGAGAAATGTCAAACTCTTAAAGTTGATAATCACTAAATCTGACATAATATGCGTTCTTTGTACCCCTAAAAAAAAAAAAAAAACAAAGAAAATGAAATGACATAATGTGTTTTCTAAATAGTTCTTATACTTCAATTATGCTAATTCTCAACTCTAGAACCAAAAACAAATATAGTCCTAGAGTTAGAAGTACAATTCAATACATATGGCCAAATGTTAATATCCAAGTGAATGTATGACTTTATTTGTCATGCTATTGACAATATTTTAGATCATCCTCATAGGTAGATGGCAGGTTCAAAATCTCTAAATTCCTTTTCTTTCACTTTTAGTGTTTGTATGACACAAAAAAAAAAAAAGAACAAAGAACAAAGAACAAAAAACGATGAAAGAAAGCAAGAAAGAAAAATGAAAGAAACACAATATAGAGATTTCCTAGTTGAAAGAACTCTCTTTTGTGTTTATGTTTAATTTAGAAATTTCATCGTTAAACAAATTTTAAACAGAACTCGATTTTATTTCTAAAGTAAAACCTAAAGCTTCCCTAAATCAAATTTTATTCATAAAGTACAACCACAAAGCGGATATTACAAAAATAATATCAACACTGATTAGAGATTGAAAAGTAAAAACTAAATCTTTACTTATATTGGATCTATTTACTCTATTCGTTGGATCTATATGAATTCCTTTCAATCAAGGAGCAATAGATTTAGATATATTAGCAAACGCGGCCCGGGCTTCCCTTCTCTTTCATTACTTCTTTGTCACAACGAGAGGAACCACGTCGACATCAGTCGAAGTGGTGGAAGGCCCGCCTGAGCCAAAGGGTGAGCTTCTACACCTCTCTTCAAGAGATGAGATTATTTCTTTCTTCACAACAAGAGGAACCACGTCCGCAGCAGTCAAAGTGGTGCCTGAGTCAAAGGGAGAGCTTCTCCACCACTCTTCAAGAGACAGGTTTCCAGTTTCTGCAACTTTCTTTCTCCCATGCTTTTCCGTTGGTCAACAACTAAATCACTAAATTATATTGGCACATTTTAATATAGTATAGATATAGATAATCACGATATTATGCTTTTGCCTATCAGCGACTAAATTTCTTTGAGGAATGTCAAGAACAAAATAGGGGAATGCAAACCTAACCATTGAAAAACTCCTGATTAATTAGGATTGATTACAATTAGAAGTCACGTATGATGTCTACCTTTGAGGTCATGCTTGACCATTAACGAAACAAAATAAGTATATGTGGAACAAGTGTCAAGAACTAAAGAGCACATGGGACCAGAAATGCCTATTAGCTCGTGCTTTATTTCTTTGGGGATCAAAGCTACGAGGAAATGGCAAGGACTAGCGTGGAAATGAAACTAAATGCAAAATCAAGCAATTAAATTCAGGGTCTTTTTTTTTTTTTGGTCTGGAATTATTTATCACATCTACTTGTTGCGTGATGATTATAACTAAGAATATTATCTCTACACATGCATGACAATTCAAGCCGAACAGCTGTGAATCTGTCACTATTTCCTTGAGCCAACAAAAATTAATTGAAAAAAAAAATTTAAGTTAAAGGCTGATTACTCACATGACTAGCATATGAGTAATTTAGTCATTTTTTAATACAGATTTTACTTAGTAATTTTTTGCAAAAATTTGCTGTCACATGATTAGATTCTATTAGTAATTGGTAAAAATCAGTCACTATGACTAAATGTACATAGAAACAAAAATACTTAGGAATGCATTTGCTTTTATCCAAATTTTATGAACTAAAAACACTCCTAACCCAAATATTTGAGACCAAACCTTATCTCTTAAAAATACCCTAATTTGAGTTGCATTTTAAATAATTGTGGCATTAAATCAAAATTTGTAAGTGACTAAAATGTGCAGTGACGTGAAGTTGCAGTCTTCTTAATATCGATCTATACTTTGTTTTGCTTGGTCACAGAATCCAGAAGCAGATAGCAACAGTCGCAATTACTTGCACGGCATAAATAAGCAATCAGCAACTTGAAATACTTCTTGCACGTTATAAATAAGGAATCAGCAATAATCGGCCATTCATGTCCTTTTCCCTCCAAGAATATTTTATCCTTAGTTAGCCTCTTATATGTTGAATTGAACGAACTTGCCGCTGTGGTATTGGATTTTGTTACAATGGATCGGCATAGTTTCTCATGTAAAATTAAACAAAAGGATTTTTAAAATTTTTTGTGGTCGGTATTGGATTTTTTGTTACAATAACATGCCCACAGAGCGATTCCTAACAAAGGAACAATATAATATACAAAAGAAAAAAGAATTAATGGACCGAATAGACCAAACCCAGTTTTGTAAAGTTCAGTTATTTCCAAAAAAAAAAAAAATTTGTTAAGGATATCGTCCATAAGAGAAAAAGATGAAAAAGTCCTTATGTATTTAGTCTTCCAATTTTTTTTTTTTTTTAATTTTGCACTCAATAGTTGTATCTGCATTCTTTTGTTAAAGTTCAATTCCTATCGATGTACAATGTTCAAGCAACTGAAAGCAGCTTAAGACAAACCCCACTCCAATGCTAAATTTCGAGTTTCATAATTTTTGGAAATTTTCCCATGGCTAGCACACAAAATGCTGCCTTATCTTTCTTTTCTTTTCTTTTCTTTTCACATTACAAGAAGGATTTCTTTTGGGGAGAGTTGAGGGGGAACAGAAATTCCTGAATTATTGATTTGCTTGTGATTTAATCCATAACTAACAGTCTTTTTTTTGCAAGAACTAACAGCCTATAACTTACAGTCATCATTTCAAGGTTGGTGCAAAATTAATCCAACAGTAAAAATTCCTTATTAATTTCATAGCCGCGTACTTTTCGACGTCTTCATATTTAACTCTCTCTCTCTCTCTCTATATATATATATATATATATATATATCCACAATTTTAACATGTCAAATTTGTAGTACAGCGTTCCTATAAATACCACCACGCGGCATTGCTTCCCAATCGTCAAACTTAACATTTTCACGTCATCCCAAAAACCAAAGGAATGGAACTTCCATATTCATATTCATCAGCCACAGTTCCCTTAAGCTCTTGCGCCAGGGGCTGGGTTGATCGAATCAGCAACATCTTCCGCAAAGAAATTGCCGTTGACATCGATCATCTCCCTCCCGTTTCTGTTTTTGAAGTCCCCAAAACGCTCAGCCTTAAAAAGCCTGAAGCTTATACTCCTCAGCTCATAGCCATGGGGCCGTACCATCATTTACGCCCCGAGCTCTATCAGATGGAGAGGTACAAGCTCGCTGCCATCAAAGAGATCTCAACCCCGGAGCAGATTTCCAATTTCCAACACATCGTGATCAACAGGTTGAAGGAGATAGATCCCTCTATCCGGGCTTGTTACAATAAGTTCATGGACTATGATCAAGATACGTTGGCGTGGATCATAGCAATAGACAGTTGTTTCTTTCTCCACATCTTGCATTCTTATCTTGTGCAAGATGAGACCACGGACAGGAGACTGTTGGACAACACTATTGTCACGAGAGATATCATGATGCTTGAGAATCAACTCCCATTTGTTCTGTTGAAAGAGATTCGCAAGTCTCTTCAAGTCTCTCCTAATTCCAATGATCAGGGGGAAGAAGATGATATTGAGTTGATCTCAATGTTATTTCAATTGTGTGAAGCACAATCTCCTGTTAAGTTCTCTATTGATAAGACCAACAAATGCCGTTACCGTAGACCTCTGCATTTGTTAGATATGATGTATCATATGGTTGTTAATGTCCCAGGTCCTGCCGTGTCCGGATGCTTAGTAAATGGTCCCATTCAAGTCGTGCCAACTTATACAGAATTCAGGAACTCATCGACCTCTTCATCCTCGTCCTTCTCGACTGATAATGAAGATCCAGACGTGGCTCACAATAATGTGGAAACACTCTTGGACTTGGTGGAGACCATTGGTCCTAAGCATACCCAGCGATTTCTTAGCCCTGTTAAGTTTGTCTCGAGTATTCCATGGTCAACTATTTCTGGGCTGTACAGAAAAGGCAACCTGGGTACTGGAGAGCAAAATTCAGAACATGATGAAATCGAAATTCCGTCGGTATCTCATCTCTGGCGCTATGCTAAAGTGCAATGCAAACCCTTCATTGGGAGCATTCAAGAGATCAAGTTCGTGGAAGAGGAAGCCGCTTTGTACCTTCCTGTAATGAATTTGAACGCGAGCTCAGAAGTGATAATGAGGAATCTGGTGGCTTACGAGGCTGCTATGTGTAAGTCAACCCTTAAATTTGCTCGATACGTCAACCTCATGAATGGGATTATAGACACCGCAGAAGACGTGAAGCTGCTGAAGCAAAATGGGGTGATCAAGGCGGCTCTCACGGATGGTGAAATTGCTGATCAATTCAACGGTATGCAGAGATGTTATGCCGGCTCAGATCACAAGTCTAACATCGAGGTTGCCGTTGAGAAAGTTAACAAATTCTACGGCAAGAAGCTTTTGGTCAGGACGGTTAGAGGGTTGAAGAAGAATTTGTATGCTTCATGGAAATGTCTGGCCCTGGTTTCCACTGGCGCGCTGCTGGTCGTGCTTGGCCTGCAGACCTTTTGCGATTTCTATCAGTGCAGCAAACTCTGGAACTTCCACCAGGGATCGTCATGATTATCTCAATCTGCACTAGGAGGCAAAATGTCTGTTTTAATTGAACAGAGAAGTATATGATTCACTTATTTCTTCTTTTTTTCTTTATTAAATTATTGTTTCTCATGGTAGGTGCACTCGTATCTAGAATACCAAAAAGGCCAAAAAAATGTTAAGAAAGATATACCTGTTTGCTAATGCTGTCTCGTTTAATTGTAGCTTATTACTCCAAAATGCCAAAAAAAAAAAAAAAAGTGTATCTAAGTTGTGTAAGATTGAAAATAAAGAGGGTAATGTGAATCAATTTCATCACAACAAAATGTGATATGCAATGCAAAAAATATGACTTAGGGAGCATTTGATAAAATTAAAATTTAAAACCTGAAAACTGAAACTTAAGTTTGAATTCGCACAATTTATAAAGTCAAATTTGTTTCATAATATGCTGAATTTGAGCACTGAATTGAAGTATTGTATTTTATGTAAATCATACAGTTTGTACAAATATTTTATTTTACTTTAGATGAAAGTAATTTTTTAACTATTACATTTTAATTTTGATAAAATGAACCAACATGAAAATCGAATATTTTTGTCTAAGAGAGAGTATGTTTATGTGTATGATAATGTGTGTGTTTGGAAAAAAAAAGATGCACGTTTTTGTTGTATGATAAACATATGATGTTAGAAAATGTGTGTAGGTGACGAAAATGTGTGAATTTGTGTGTATGTGTTTGTGAGAGAGAGTGTCTGTATGCATATATGACAAAAGCACACATATATGAGAGAGCAAGAAAGTATGTGTATATGTGTAAAAGCGTGTTGGGCTGTGGTGGAAGAAAATGATTTTGGATGAGTATGATTACACTAATTTGAGCATACAGCAAATCAAGTGATTGCATTTTCACTTTAAATTTTGTAAAAAAAATTAAGTAGATTTTAATGTATTCAAATGTATGGAAATTTTGTTATTAAACAAGCTTAATAGAAAATTTTTTTCTTAATTCACTAATTTTAATGACTTTTATTAAAAGATTAATATTCGGCACTTAACGGGATTATGAAGCACTGCCTTCTAACTAAACACTAATATTGCCCTTAGGAAATATAGTAGATTATCCCTTGGTGACCTTCCTACAAAACTATCACCTGCTATAATTGCTTCTGCCAAGTTATTGGAAACATTTGTCTTCTTTTTTTTTTTTAAGTAAAATGGTAAATTTTATTAATATCAGGAAATCAGGTTACACACAGATTATCTTATCATCACTAATACACTCCTCCTTACAGCATATTCCTGAAAACTCTACAAACACACGCTATATCAAAATTTTGGTAGGGATCCCCAACTCCACTACAAGAAAACGGGCTTTTTGCAACGCTTTTGCTGTGGCACAAGGAGAAAGTGCGGTAAATAAGCAGCAAATTTCAATTTGTGCTGCAAATTTCACAACGGTTCCTAATTTTTACATAAAAACGACATAGTTTTAATATAACCCATAAAAGAAAAGAAAAGAAAATAAAGCCCAAAAAAAGGGGGGAACAAACGATCCTTTCTAAAGATAACTAAACACCTAAATACCTAAATACCCAAAAATCTGATCCTTTCCAAAGTCTGAAAGCAGACAACCTAATTCCACCTCTCTCTCTCTCTCTCTCTCTCTCTCTCTCTCTCTCTCTCTCTAAATTCCCTTTGATTTCTAATGATGCAGTAGAAATACCTTCGGTTCCTAATTCCTGGTCAATTAATTTTTGTGTTTGTTTCTTAGTTTTATATCTGCAGTAGAAATATCAGACCAAATTTTCTTTCAGTTTTAGGTCATTTTTCGAAAGGTGAATAAATTGGATATCCTTGGTTGGATTTGGTTCTCTATCGATAAACCAATTGTAGCTCTGAGACAACTCAATCAACAATTCTACGAGCTCTTCTGGTTCAAAGGCAAGGTAATTAAGCTCAATTTCTTTGTGATATTTTCACTTTACTCATTTCAACTTGTGCTATTTGCTATCGATATTGCTAATTAAATTGCTCTTTGACATTCCGTTATTTGTCTCCTTCTAAATTTCTGGGGCTATCTGGTATCATACTTAATTTGCTTGCTTTTTTATCCTCTTCTCTTACCTGCTTTGGATATGCCGCATCGTATGCATATGCCGTTTCTTTAGTGGCTTTAGTGGCTGTCTCTAGTCTTGTCTTGTCACTTGTGTCAACGAGTCTGCATTTCTTCAGAGGCCAAATTGAACAGCGAACACTTTGTTTTGTCTATCAGTGGAAGAGGTAAATAGAGTATTAGAGTGATATTTTCTCATTCACTCAAAAAAAAAAAAAAGGCAGATGTTTTTGTCCTCTGTAAAGACTAGTAAGCTAAGAGGAAGATTGGGAATTAAATCCATTGAGTTAAGAGTTCAAACTCGAGCTCTTTTCTTCGGGTCATAAGATAAACATTAATAGAGGAATTAGAAATTTGGCCTAGTATGTGTACGTCCCTTTTCCTATTAAAAACGTGTGTTTGATGGGAGATTATATAGAACAATTTTTTAAAAATAATATCATAACACTTTTTATAGTGCGATATATGTAAAATAGAAAGATGATTTAAAAAATGCGTTATAATGCAATCAATTTTTTTTTTTTTTTGCAAATTAAAACATACCAAAATATAAGAAGCTTTTCTTGAGGTTTTAGCTCAGTCAAAATTGTGTTTTTTTGGGGGGAGACTTTGAAAAAATATTATTATAATATGTAGTATATAATTGATGTATGCGTAATGAAAAGATGAGTAGAAAATGTGTTCGGAGATTTTTTAAAATCTAAAATGAAGTATTTGACTAAGTGCAAAATCCAATAGTTGAACCCCTTTCGGTTCTTCAATCATTTTTGCGAGTCTTTTATTTCAATTATTTCATGAATCGTTTTTTCTAGTTGATTTCTCTTCTTTTTCTATTTCTATATATTTTAAGGGCACAGTAAGAGGAATTTAGTGATTAGTAATGGTCAACTTGAGTTATTTATGCTTTTTTTTTGGGTTAAGATGGAGAACGACTATATGATTTTTAAATGTGGATTTTAATGGATTTTTTCAATTATTTGAGACTTAATGTGATTTAAGGTGGAATTCTAGAGTTTCAGTTTGAAAATTTGGACTTCTGTGTAAATTGTTATGTTGTCATGCATTTGTTACTTCTCCTTTTTTTGGCCACTTTTATCCGGATTATGTCTTTTTCAATACAGTAGACAAGTTCTTGTACATAGTTGAACAGCAATCTAACTATCTGAATTGCCCATAACCATCATTTTTATCTGCCTAGCAATTGTAGCTTGCTAGCAATTAAATGTTCTACCAAGTTGCAATTAGGAATTTGTAAGACAATCTAGCTCCCCTGATTTATCTATGTTTCTTTTTCTTGCAAACAGAACACTAGTTTGCATATTGACATAAATTCACCACATTCTTTTGGCATTGAGAAGTTGGGTTAACTGTTAACATCGCATTCCACTATGAGCATAGCAAACTGGGATGCACATGCTGCACTTTATTTTTTATTTTTTTTTTGCATGTTAATAAATTTGCTATTTTTCAATTCTGTTTATAAGGTCTCTTTTCTTGCCTTCTCAGTCTTGTTTCTTATAGAATGGATGATAGGTCTTGGATCTTTATTGAAGACCGAGTCAATAATCCATACTTTGAAAAGTGTCTGAGTGACTTCCTTAAATTTGCCTACAAAAAGAAGGAGGTTGGGAGTAGAATATATTGCCCATGTAGGCGATGTAAAAACTCAGAACGAAGAAAGGAAGAAACTGTGCATGCACATGTAACAATGAAGGGGTTTTTGACCACTTATACAAATTGGATTCATCATGGTGAAGATCCATGGGACTTCAATCAAGAAAATATGAACAATGGAGTGTTTAGGCACATTGAAAATGATGACATGAATGAATTGATACACGAAACACTTGGAAGAACACTTGAAGAGAATTCTAACATAAATTTAGAAGAACTTAGAGGAGCCTGTGATGAAGAGACTAATAAGTTTTTTAAGTTGCTGAAGCATGCCCAAACAGAGTTATACCCTGGATGTAAAAATTTTACTCTTCTATCATTTGTCATCAAGTTGTTGCATGTCAAGTCTCTTTGTCGATGGAGCAACAACTCAATGACAATATTACTGGAGCTTCTCAAGGAAGTTTTTCCTGAGAATGAATTATTTCCAAGCTCTTATCGTGATGCTTGGAAGATTGTTAAAGACTTGGGTCTTAGCTACCATAAAATTCATGCATGCCCCAATGATTGCTTGATTTATTGGAAGGAGACAGAACATGAAACCTTATGATGTGAGACGGATCTAGACAAACACCAAGTTGGGATGTTTGGCGGAACTTTGACCCTTCTAGAATCACAAGCCACGAACTAATGAGATTCCTTAACCCACGACTAGCAAATTTAGTGAACCAAAAGTATAGATAGAAGAACGCCACAATCAAGGAGACTACTTGATTGATAAGTTCGATGAACAACTTGAGATTAATTCTCAAGTATTCAAAGAGGCTCTCTTGGAAAGAGAAAAGTGAAAACTCACAATTTTATTGATGCTCAAAACTGATCATGAAGGTCTCTTGCCTTGGCTATATATAGCCATACAACTTGAAAACCTAAAGTAACTTGGGAAAACTCAGTTAGGCTAGGCCTTTGGGCCAATTCTACTACTCAAATCCACTATCTAATGGTCAGCTTATAATCGATCTAATGAAGGCTTTTAAGCTGGCCCAACATAACCCAATAAAAGCTAATTAACCAACTTAAGTAATGGTGAGCCTAGACTCTATAAATCGGATCCAACTCAACATGAGGTCTTGGACCGAATTTATTCCTCGCAAATAAAATAGAAATCTGGAAAATAAACTACTAACTATTACTAAAAGATTCAATCTCTTGCAGCCCAAAACATGGCCCATAAGCAGCCCATATTTCGTATCATTCCCCTCCTCTTGAAAAAGATTTGTCCTCAAATCGTGTTTG